CTCTCCGTCAGAGCTACACTCCTGTCAGACGAGAAATATACCACGTTAGGCTCTTGTTGTGTTCAAGGACCCTAACCTTGGCCAGGAAAAACTTGTTTAATTATTTTGCGGTCTCGATTTCTTAAATGTTTTTCATTTTTGCATGTGTTTATAAATTACCTCGAGGGCCGTTTCAAATGGTCTCGCGAGCCGTATATGGCCCGGGGGCCGGAGGTTCCCCACCCCTGAGCTAAAGACTTAGATATCTGTGAAGACCAAACATTAAGCTAGCACTATCTTGATATTTGTGTATACTAGGGGTGTAACGGTTCATATAATTTACGGTTCGGTATGTACCTCGGTTTGGGGGTCACGGTTCGGTACGGGTTCGGTACAACAAGAAAAAGCTAAAAAAAAAGTCCCAAATGCATAATTCCATGTTTGTTGTTATTTATTTTTTAACAGTAGTGCAAGTTTCAGTATAAAAAGAAGGAACTCTAACATTTTGAATAATTAACTGTATTACACGGTTAAAAACAAACCACAAACAGTACCACACACACTCAGATGGCCACATTATCTATAATGGCTGATGTCAAACAAAAAGGTTTCATCAAGCTGTAAAACTAAAAATAATGTCTTGAAAATATTACAAAATAAATAATAAGAAAGTGTTTCAATGGCGCATAGCCATTGAAATATATGCCAATAGTTTCCGTTATTTATTTTGGTCTCTCGGCTTTCATGTCTATTGTCGTCTTAAAAACAACGGGCATAAGCTGTTGAACTGCTGTTGTCTTTTGCCGGGCTCCGGTGATTGGCAAATCTGGGTGATGCCTTCTGATATCATTTAGCATGTTTGGCGTGTGTTACCATTAGCATACCGCACTGCTGTCGAACAACGCCGACACACCGACCTCCCGATCCATCACTCACACTCCATCGTTATTGTAGTCCACAGGGAACCCAACATGTTCCCACACAGCTGATTTAAAAGAAGCGGGTGGGTCTTCTAGCTCCTGTGTGTTTTCTGTGTCACTACCCGATCTGCATCCCTGCCCTATCTGCAGTGCGCATATGCGAGATGGTCCGCCATATTGGAAAACCCCATACGGCAACTCTAATAGGACATTTGATGTCTAGACGGCTGCCCGATTTGCATCGTGCATGCGCGAGTCATAAACGTCTCAAATATCTATACAAAAATCTTTTGTTATTTTATTTTATTTGAAATAAAATGAAGGACATTCACAGTTAATGTAATCAGATATAAATTATGAATGCCATACATATTGCATACATATTCATTATCAATATTTCTTCGTATGTATGATAGCTGTCTAACAGAAGTTAAATCCATTTCTCACTTATTCTGACAATGTACTTAACCCAATATAATAAAATGACCAAATAAAAGGAGTTGTTAAATAATAGTGAAGTCACGTTGTAATAACAATAACTCATTGCTCTCGTTCAGATTAATATTGTCGGGTTTTTTGAGTGTTCTTTTTCTGCTTTGCCAAACGCCACTGTGTCAAGTGTCCTATTTGGGTTGCTGTACGGAGTTGTCCAATATGGCGGACTATCTCGCACATGCGCACTAGAGATGGCAAATTCGGATCCTTTTACGGACACGTAAAAAGTAGGGGTGCTGGAGGCGGGGCTGCGAATGGTGTACATTTAAAAACGTCATGTTACTGTTGTTGAAATCTCTCCCCACTTTTGTCCGCACCCCCTAAATAAAATGACTTCCCAGTTCCCGCGGCTATGCTCGGTCTGCTGAGTCAGACATTGAAGAGATCCGGATCATACGAGTCCTTTGAGTCATATGAGTCAGCGTAGAAATCCTACCGGTGAAACCCAAAAGTTGTTGCATTTCACGAGCATATTAAACTAACGTTACATTAACCTCCGCTACACAGTGTCTTTTGCTTTAATAAAAAATGTTGATCACAAAAAAAAGGGTTATTTTGCGATTTGGCGAATCTGAGTCTGCTGTTGACTCGTGCATGAGGACGAGTCTGCTGGATCTCTGGATCTGCTGCTATACGGTTACGGCTCTGAGTCCGCACGAGTCTGCTATGTTTTGCACAGTGAGTCAGGATTTGCGAATCTCTGAGTCTTGTGGAGAATTGAAGATTTTATCACCTGATATATAAGACGTTTGAATGGCAGAAAGTCCTCCCTCCAGATATTGAGGGAGGCCCCTTGAGTTTCCCTGTTAATTATCAATAGTATGTGCAAATAACAGGGGAAGCCAAAGGGGGATTTTCCTCAGATTTAATGCAGTTACATTCTTGTAGTTAATGATGCATGTCCTGCAGACCCAGAAAAAGCCTTGAGAATTGAGTCACACAGTTAAGAGAGACAATAGTCCTTCTGAATTATCAATAAATGTATTCAGTCCAGTAAAGCAGACCCCAAGGTGAAGGGAAGTTCACAGAAGCCCTTAGGCTACAAGAACAATCAACTTCTGTTAATGATAAAGATGTGTGTGCGTTAAAGATGTTTGGGGAAGAAGTGTGTCTATTGCAGCAGCTAGATGGGATTACTGCTCAAAACGATACCTGTACTTGTGTTTTATTGACTTCTCTGTTTGATTCTTTCATGAAGTGGGGACTAAATTGCCACAACATTGTGAAGTAGTTGGCTTAAATGTGCTTAAATTACTCTGTGGGAAATAAGGAGCAGGTTTGCATGACAGGAGACTAGAAATGATGGGGGAGGGGAGCAGAGAGGGAAGTCTGAAGAATGTGTGTGTGTGAAAGCTGCAGATCCCAGCCCATCGTTTGTATATGGGCCAATAGATAACCTGTATGGGAGTAGCATCCACACAGCTCCTCCCGTTGTTTTTACAATATCTCCTGTTGAGTCCTTGTGTCCGGTCTCTCTTCCTCCTGCTGCCAAGACAAAGTAAGTAAGATTTCCCGGCGGGAGGAACCAGAGCCGGAGTAATCCGGATTACTTCGTGATGTTGTGTTATTGTATCTTTTGCCATTAAATCAGCATATTTGTTATAACTTTACCAATGGTTGCTGTGAATTCTTCCTCTGTTAATCTGACCCATTCACAAAAGGACGCGCGGAGGCAGAGGGGGGCCTTAGAGCCCCCGCCAAAGAATGACGTCTGCCACAACAGTCTGCTGTTGACTCGTGCACAATAGCCGCGGGAAGTAGGGGTGCTGGAGGTGGGGCTGCGAATGGTGTACATTTGAAAAACGTCATGTTACTGTTGTTGAAATCTCTCCCCACTTTTGTCCGCACCCCATAAATAAAATGACTTCCCAGTTCCCGCGGCTATGCTCGGGAACTGGGACCTTCAATGATGAGTCTGGATCTCTGGATCTGCTATACGGTTACGGCTCTGAGTCCGCACGAGTCTGCAGGAAGTATCACTGATCCGCGTCCACACCCCTGAGCCAAACGATAACTTCTGGCAGCTATCCTACTACTTGCTAAAGGCTAGGCAGATGGACTGGGGTACGTTGTAATGTGATTTGACATGTTATAAGGAGATAGTGATGTGTCGGTCGCGAACGAGCCGATTCTTTTGAACGGCTCTTTGGTACGAACGAGGGGAACTGAGTAGTACTTCGTGAGAGCCGTTCTTTTTATCGTTCAATCATTGGTCTGCACTCACTGCCTGCCAAAACCCACTCGCCTTTTAAAAAGCTTGAAGACCCGCCCCTACTCTGATTGGTAGGTTTCAGCATGAGGAGGGAGATGGGATGGAATACGCGCGAGAGAGAGAAGTCATAACAAGTGGTACAGGACAGGTAGACAACGTGTTTTTCGGATGGAAAATGAGCCAAACGCGAAAACGCAGCAGCATTTGGATGCACTTTAACCAAAACCCAGGCAGTGATAAAGCGCACCATTTGTAAAGGCAAAATATCCTTTAAAGCAGGGTCAACAAATAATCTCCATCACCACTTAAAAACACAGTATCTAATATTAAGAGTTGCGTGAATTTCATTCAAGGCAAGGCAACTTTATTTACGTAACACATACAGAGGGTAAATTCAAAGTAGAACATTCACTGACATGAATATGGTGCCACCTTGTGTCATGTTTACAATGCAGATTATTGACATTAGGTCTGGCAATACAGTCAATCGTTATCCTGGTGATTATTTTGCAGATAAACTTAATAACCCCGCCCCCTTGGCTCTTTTGAACGGCACTTTGGAAGGAACGGAGCCATAAGATCTGGCTCCCTTCAAAGAGCCATAATTCCCATCACTATAAGGAGAGTAGCGAGTGACGCAATTTATAGTTTTAATTTGTACGTCACCAGGAGTAGGACTCAAAGGACTCGGGTTAATCGAGAGGGGAGACTCGTCACGACCAGCTCATTACTAGGATCCGGGTTAATGATCCGGATGAATCAGGACTCACCCATCTCTAATGCGCACTGCAGATAGGGCAGGGATGCAGATCGGGTAGTGAGTCACTACCCGATCTGCATCTCTGCCTATATCCATAACATCTTATATAGTCGTAATATAGCAATGTTAACCCGTTGCTAATGCTTTAAATGCTAAACTTTATGAATGAACCTCCTGAAAACCTGTAGCTTCGTGCTTTAAGAGGTGAATGTCTGTGGTGATTCTTTGGGATGCAAGTGTGAGCGTGTGCTGAATTTCTTCTAACTTTCGACACAAAGGATACATCTCTCCACACACGTTTGGAAACAGGGGAGCAAAGATTCTTGTCTCTCCTCTTTAGAAGGAAACTGGGTCTCCGAGAGCTCGTTCGTCTTCATTCGTCCACTGAACCCGCTCTCACTTTCCTCTCATAACTCATACCTTTCTATAACCAGCTGCATTGTTCTGCTCCTCCCACATCTAAACTCATTTAATCTGCCCAGAACAATAAGGAGAATAAAGATAAATGTCTCAATCTGTAACATTACTGTCACATAATATCTAGCTATAGCAGCGAAATGGGGTTTTCGGCTCTCTACCTGCAGTAAGTGGCATATGTGACTGGAAGTGTGAGATAAATGAAAAGGACCCGGTCTAAAACAACAAAGATAATACATTTAATATTGTTTCTCTTTTGGGCAATGTGAGATACAATGTAAACATGTACATTACAAGATACAAAAAAAAGGAACAAGACTTGTCAAAATGAAGGGGTAGATAAGAAAATGTCCTGTTTTCAAAAGGAATGCACATGTGCAAAATGTCTCCAATCAGAAAGGAATATGGACAGTCTTTTAGATGTCATTATTTTTTGTCCTAGTGTAACGATGCTTTCAACAGATCCATGAGCCCTTGTCACCATGAGGACAGACGACTCTTCATTGGAGGATACATTCACTTTAACAGTGGCATAAAGCTCCTCATGGCATACCTTTTGAAAACAAGGATCTTGCAAGAGTTAAACACAATTTGCATAACAACAATGGTAATAAAAAAATAAAGAAAACAGAAATGAAAGAATAGCACCTCCTTTGGTCCAACTCGAGGCATGTAGTTCTTGTTGTGTTTGACATGCTGGTAACGGATCATCTTAGTCAGTGTACAGATCAAGAGCGTGATGGCGTCGGGCTTCCAAGGTTTTGTTGTTGTTTGGCACACTGCTCTCCACAGCGGGGTGGTGACAGATTATATTCTATAAATTCAACATCCAGGCTAAAAACAGTCTCCACTTTCTCATAAATCGACCTCAGCTTTAACTCCACATCAATCACTGGTGACAGCTCGGCTCCAACGCTAAAATATGGCTGAGGCCCCCGCGCAGGATGGCAGCCGCCGCAGCGGTGTTGGCGATTAGGAGGAAGCTGTTAGCGTTGGAGTATCGTCTGACTGGGGAAGGTTAATTAAGACACACTGTTGTGCTAATTAGAAACAGGGATTCAAACCTAGACAAAGAAAAGAGTTACAGAGACACAGCTGCACGCCTCATTCCTCGACACAGCCCCCTCCCCCCCCGAGAAGGCTCCTGCTGATGCCCGCCGGCTCCTCAAACAACTGCATTCTATGAGGAAGTTTTCAGAATGACATAGGCCTAAGCGCCTGGGATTTTGCATTGTTTTACCCCAAACCCTGCAGCTTTACTCATTCTTTTTCCTTTCTTCCCTCACACTAACTCAAACAAAAGCAACTAATTAATAAAAAACATACATAATCATCTTCCTAAATACCTCAAACACACTTGCTAAAACTTTCTTATCAAACCTACCCCTCCTTCTGTCAACCTTTATAACTCCATCACTCTATTCCAGAGCTGGGTGACTTTCAAAGCCCTTTCTTGATTTATTTTGATATTTAATTCAAGCTTCATTAGATGTGAACAAACACTTCCAATCCTGTGATACACTTCCGCAACATTACATTCTTTTCTCAACAAAAACACAAGGCAAAACAAATAAGAATCCACCATTTGAAGGCTTTTTTTTACCGTCGTATTCCAAAAAACTTTCTTCCAACACTGAGCTCGACTCTCACCCCCTCAGGGCTACATAAGATCTGAGCACTCTGACAGCAAAAAGGAGCTACGATAAGACGTGGGATCACTTTTTAAAGTTATTCTGTGGATTGAGAGTGAGACTGAGAGGAGCTTCAGAGCTGAGAACTCGCCCGTCTCTCGCTGACTTGCAAAAGCAGCTTCGAGAACTTCAAGTGCTGCAATTACAACATTGTTTGGAGCAATGAGATCACAGCTAAGGCGGGGAAGCTGAGAGCTCATTACGTTGCGTGTTGTTGAAGGAGGTTATAAGGAGTTGGATGAAATGGGTTCCCTGTCAGAAGGAACTATATTTCATAGTTTTCAGAGTGGAAACATTACCCATTAGCCTTCTCCAATTAAAGCAGAGCTTCTCTCATCTTGTCTCCTAGAATCCACTTTCCGATCCTTTTCCCTGCGTCCTGCTCTCACACACTTATTCCTTGACCTCTAAATTATCTTCTTCTAAGTGCACCTGCAAACTATCCATCTCATCATGCAAAAACACACACACCCCACTCGAACCCTTCTGGATTTCTCAATGGTTCCACCGGGACCGCTCAGCTGTGTCGAGGAAGGACGGATATGGAAATAAGTGTTGAGGGAAGAAAGAAAGAGGAAGGGGAGACAGGAGGAATACGTTTGGGGTTACAGGGTTTAAGGTGTTTCTCGCCTGAGGTGCCGTCCATTTGTTAAAATAAAAAGAGAGCAAGGAACAAAACTAGAGTGCCGGTGCAGTGAACCTCCGGGGATTTATCAATACACTGGTTTGTCATCATCATAGTGTGTTGGCATGCGGGATGCAGAAATATTACAACTGCCAATCCCATTTCCATTCTGCCGTGGGGGTGCACTGAGGTTTGAGAGTGGTGTAGCTGAACGAGGCTGAGCTGGTATGAAAAAGAAGCCTGTAACCTAAAAGAACACTTTTAGGTTAATAAACTTTGCTTTTTTGAGAAGAGTTTGATAAGATGATTGAGACAACTCTCATATTGTGCCGCTAAATAAAAAGCTAAAGGCAAGAGATAATTAGCTTAGCAAAACAATTAGAAGGATGGGTACATTTAGCTAGCGAAGTTCTATCTAAAGGAGGAAAAATCCCACCTACCGTTCCCTAAAGCTCACTAATTATATTATCTGGGTTTATGTCATTGATTTGATGGCTACAGAAACCAAAGATAGGCAGAGAAAATGTGTGGTTGCAGCCGGGATTATCTCTTGGCCAGGTGCAGTGATTTATGGCATTTTGTTTTGTCAACTAAGTGTAAAATCAAAATATTTGTGTTTGAAGTCTTAGGTATTAAGTATTTACGTTTTATTTCATTCTCAGGGCTAGTTGTTTCCCGCTACTCTAAGTAGGCCTATGCTAAGATAAGATAACCGTGTAGTGTCTTAGCTTCATAGTACAATATTTTCTACAGACCTGGTTTAAGACGTTTACAAAATACATGTGATTTAACAAAACACTTTAATTACCTTGTTAAAAATGTCCTCTAATTGCATCTACTTTTTCTGGTGCATTGAAATTCCAGAATATATACATATATATAGTTGGAGCATAACACAATGCTTATTATTCACTAAACTCTTATGTAATTCTCAGTTTATATTAATGGGAGGCTTTAATTGTCCACATACAAAACGTATGGGAGGAGCTAAACATTCCACGCTGGAGCCGATTGGCGCATACACTCCTTTAACACTAATTTAACTAAGTTTAGAAAAGCACTCCCCTATTAGTAATTAAAGTAAAAAACTCACTTATATCGTTTTGCGAAGTGAAGCTCAAACACACAAGTGGGTTAACAGAGAGCTAAATATGTGTTGGAGTTGAGGGGGGCTTATGTTTTAACAACGAGAGTAGGCCTTTTCTTCTCATATAACTCTCAGCAAGAAAGCAATCAGGGTATATCCTTTAAGGTGGAGACAACCAGCCGGACAAAAGCATTTGTGGAGACAAGCCCCCCTAACAGTAGAGGGAACAATGTGTATTGGCCTGTACACGCAGTAAGTATTTAGCACAATGACGCGTGTACCTGTAGCGCATGGATAAGGCCTGCCTGGGGCTGAGCACAGAGACAAATAAAGCTTTTTCTATTTTTGGGGTACAATCCTGGAAGCTGATGGATTGAACTGAAATGGCCTGAAGGAGCGTTCATCTCCCTGCTCTCTTGTTTACCGCAGAGACGGTTCCAAATGTCACCTTCCGTTGGGGTGATTGGTGAGGAAACAAATCTGACTTGGTTTGACAATGCGTGTGCTCAGAGGACACACTCCAGAGAACAAACAAAAAAAGAGAAAACAACAACACAAAAACAAGAAACTATCAAAATTCCATTCAGGCACGAACGTGACAGGCCGCTGAGGCCCCTGATGATGGGCCCCTGACTCTCCATCCGTGAAGAAAGACCCCAGATGGCTGTAAAGTCAGTACAGAACGGGTCAGTGGGTTTCTGCCATGCCGTTCACAATCACTGTCCAGAGATTCTCATGCGAGTTATTATAAAAGTCCGTCCCGTCAGGAGATAATGAGATGTCACCTACGACGGCTTTGGTCCGATTACTTTTCCAACGCTAACACGATCTGCTTTTTGAGATCCTCTTGAAACGATACACTTGAAACGACGGTAAAAGCTCATGACTGGCAGTTTGACGGGGAGCATCTACTCCCAGCAGATGAAATGGCATTGTTGACGGTTTTCTTTCTGCACCTGTAATTCTCATCCTCTTGTTGACGCATGATGATGTTTCTTATCTATTGCACACTTCCTCGCGGGTACATTTCAGAATTTGACAAATAGGGTAACAAAGACAAGAAAAAAAGCATGAATAAAGACGCTACACAGCTAAATGTATACTCGACACAAAACGATTCCCTTGCTATTTTAGCCAAGTAAATTCAGCTCAATCAATAAAAGCAATATGAAATAATAATAGTGCTGGAGCGAAATGTACAAAGTGATTTAACACATTTACATAATGCCTTCGTCTTGTAGGGAAGGGGACTGCATACAGCAAATCAACTGATTAGTTCTGAATTGTATTATGTATCCTTACATTTTTTCATATACTTCAACAAATGCATTTGCTTCACATACTCAATTAAATTATGATATTTTGCATATCAATGTGAGTGAAGTCCAATTTCTTTAAAAAGAATGATCTGTATAAGCTATACAGTAATATTCTGAGTGGGGGAATAAGGTGATTGTCAAACCGAAATTAGATATAAAACTATTCATAATAAATATGCATAAATCAGGCATTATGTAAAGCACAATAAAGATGAAGGAAGTGCCCTTTTTTTGCTAAAGTTGCAGCAGACAGCATAGAGAAAAAATCTGTTTATAATTTTCAAAAAAATAAATGATTGCCCAATACGAAAAAATGTGTTACAAATTATTTTAGCTGCACCGAGATTTCAAATTAAGTAAAAACAATGTGTACAGACTCTCACTGGCCAGCAGTGCATTTCGTATTGCACTGAGGTAGAAAGGCTAGGTACAATCATGTTTAGTACCACTGACCCCCCACTAGAGGTCTCTGTTTATCCAATTATACTCAAACTCTGCAGGTTACTGTCTCATTTGAGGTGATGAAAGAAGAATAGATAAATAATTTAAAAAACGTATTCAATAAATATTATGCTGAGTATTGACTGCATCTTCACATTAATGCACCATAAAACAACAGATTTAAAGTGCACTAATTCACAAAACAGAACCACTTCGTTCCTCATTATTGTCACTGTGTGATCACAGGGTAACAAACAAAAACAAATATGGTTTCGCTAAAATAGATAACTGCGATCTAGCAGGTACTGCACTTGGTTTAATATTGTGATACTGTCCAGCAGAAACATAATGAAAAGCTAGTGCTGCCTCATACCGAGAGCTCACACCGCTCAATAGAAAATGTATTTCAGCAGTCTTGAACATCAGCCATTTGAATTTTTAAAGTTGGATTTGAGCTCAGAAGGTTAAATTCAAATGTTTCAGTTCTGTTTGTGAGGAGAATTATCTCTAACTTCTGTAAATTATCTTTTAATATATGGTAAGTAACCAAACAACAATTGGAAACAACTCTACACACTATGTTGTTTTGTTTAATATCAAAACTTACTTCTAGTTTAAAAATGGTATCAAGTGCTTCCAGGTATTGATTTTTCAAAAAATTGTTTAAGGTGTTTTGTCAAAAATCACAAAAATAGCCAATGCAATCTCTTTGGTTTGATCACATTTGGGATAAATGCTTTGAAAATATGTCCCTGGGATTCAATTATTTCATCACATTTCCAGTACTCAATACATCCCGCAACAGCGGTATTATTACATGTATAGAAACAACTAAATATTTACAATCAAATGTTCCTGGAGCCAAAAGCACTACAGTAAACCAAAACTATGTAAACTAATTGTTTAAAGTTATTTGCTACCCAGATACAGTATGAGGTGGGTTTTTTCTGGAGAGCAAATTACAATTTTCCAGAAAACTATAACGCGTCTGTTATTTTCAAGTTTAACAGGTTTTACACATCTGTTATCCCAGTTACAGCTGGGATTAAAAACATACATATTAACATGTTTTTCTGGGGTTTAAGAATCTACTACCAAACTTTGCCAATTATTGAAACCTGAGCATCTCCTGCATGTGTTCCAGGAGTTTAACTTCCAATTCAAGGCTGTCGGTGGTAAACAGATGTCACAAGAAAGCAGAAATAATTCTCTACGAAAGACTTGCATCAACATGAGACATTATAACATACAATGATTTAAAGAATACTTATAATGAGATTAAAAGGTTTCAGTTTGCTTGTGGCTTAAAACAAATACAATTCTCTGCTGACTGAGTCTAAACCTCAGTTACTTTCTTTAATCTGTGTTGGACCAATCAGAGCACTCTAGATGGACATCTTGCACTTTGTTTGCACTCTATAGTGGAGCTCTTAACTGGTTATGCAAATTGTCTTGGTGGTGTTCGTAGGCCTATGGCACTCTTAAAAGATTTGGTTGATTTATTGTTTTTCGCAATCCACCATTTAGGACCTCCATTCAGGTGATCAACAAAAGGCACTTATCGGCCATCAGAGTCAGTGATGGGCAGGAATAAGCATAACCATTACCCTGCTCAACTTCTGTATTACATGATGCAAACCTCTTTAAGAGGTTATCACTCCCATTCATACCATTTTATATCTCAAAGACATTACCTCTTCAGATTTCCTCACTCGAGGAGGACCAAACCGACATCCTGTCTCTTAGCCAAAATATTTTAAATCTTTACACTCCTTTTCGTATACATTTTAGTAAACCAGCACTAAAAGTGTCTTTCCTTTTCAGATGAAAACATCTTTCTTTTTTACAAGCTGTCATAAATGTACATTGTTCAAGGACATATTGCTTACGGGTGATTGTGGGTAACATTCTTAAGGAGCCACCAACGTCCTTGGAGTCATCAAAAAGGGGAAAGATAGAGGAAAGGGTAGGGGACGGATGTGGGGTTTATTTTTTTCGCTCTAGATAGTTGGATGGGACCCAACCCTTGCGTGGAAGCAGGCTGTCCTGAACCTGGCAGTACCACCATCCATTGGGGTTTCTTTCCAGCACCTCCAGACAGGTGCCCTCCGTGAAGCCCATTGTCTCCTCATCGCCCCGATAGTCGGCGATGGACACGTACACATCCCTGCCCAGGTTGTTGTGGATCAGCTGGCTCTTCTCGATGGGTTTGGGTCGCACGGTGGACACAGGGATGCCGTTGCGTTGGTTTACGTTGCTTGTGCTGAACGCGTTACCCGAGGATCCCAGGCTGGAGCGCTCTGCGGGCCTCGTCTCACTTTCCACAACGACATGTGGCCGCACGGTGCTGAACGAGGCATTTCGCCGGACGCCAAGAGTGGCAGAACCGGAACCGTAGTGATCGCTTCTGTGGAGCGTGTCGTTTCGCCTCAGAGAACCCGTCATGTAGTGTCCGTCCTTTGATGGCTGTGATGTGGTCACAAATACAGACTGAGGCCTCACTGCCACCTGGCGTACCCCGTTCCTCATCCGAACGCCGCCATTAACTACGGCTGAAGGCTTCGAGAAGCCGCCGGGAGGCTTGGAGGGGATTGGCGGAGTGTTCCTTCTCAAGCCTTGATGCTGCTGATGCTGGCTCAGACCCTGAATGTTGATATTGTTGAGGGCCAGAACGTGCTGCTCGTTCTTCTCCAGGCTGTTGGACTTACTCCTGCCACTCCTGTGTCCTTCTAGTTCGAACCCACCCACATCACCCACTTGTCTGACAGGCTCCAGGTAGTATGAGGGAGCCCAACCCTCTTCGGATACCCAACGGATGTACCACCAACCGCTCTCCTGCTTCTCCAGAACCTCAACCTCCACCCCGGCTGGAAAGCTGATCTCAGAGTCCTGGACCTTCTTATAGACATCCAGGGAGCGGTAGAGAGTGGGGCCTTCCACGTCTGAGTCACCGCGGCTCCCTTTGGAGTATACTGAAGAGAGATCTGAGGTGCTGCGCGAACACATGGAGTCCTCGGATGATATGACAGAGCCTGTTTCAGATTCGTCGCGAGTAGGTTTGAGGCCATGAGGCCGATACTGACTGGTAGGCCTCAGCTGCCGCCTCAGAGAGCTGATGTCCATCCTCTCAGGACTCTGGGGCTCAGATTTGGTCAGGAGAGGTTTAGGTCTAACAGAAGGCTTAGGCCGGGTGGAGGGGCTCTGACCTATTCTCTGCTCCACATCCCGGCTAAAGGGAGCACCTTTCTTGGAACCTCTGGTCAATTCATCTGATGAAGAGTGGGGGCTGTTGTCCTGAGAGCTCAGGCTGATATCTATGTGTCTGCCCAGGGTCTGGCTTCTCCGTGTCATCTCTGGCGTCATGGTCTTCATGGGTCTACCTGCTAAAGGCGAGGATCCGGAGAGTTTGCGAGGGACTGTGGAGGAACGATAGCTCCTTGGGGAACTCGGCTCACTGGAACCTTTGACTGAAGTCCTCTCAGCACCACTGCTTGGTCTGAAGTCATTCTCATAGATACACTCCTCTTTGGAGACCTCCTCCACAGACCTGAAGGAAGTTCTCCGACGAGTGAACACAGGGGACGCCTTGCAGACTGGAGGGGAGGCCTTGCAGGAAGGAGGGGAGGCCTTGCAGGAAGGAGGGGAGCTGCGGTACTTGTCGCTCACCACGCTGCTGATCTTCACATCCAGGGCACGTTCATCCTTAAGGGAATCGGTGTCCGATTCACCTTCACATCCGACTGCAGGAATATCATATTCAGGCTCCTCATACACGGGCCTGCTCACCGGCTCTGAGACTTTTGTAGCAGAGCTAGCAGGAGGGGGGGCCTCCTCCGGTTCTTGCTTCTTGACAGGCGGAGCTGGGGGTGGGACTTTGGGCCGGGTCAGGGTGCTGGTCCGACGACTGAGGTTGGGCTTCTTGCGCTTGTCAATGTAGGAGCAGGGGGCCCAGCCCTCCTTCTCTCCGATCTGCACATACCACCAGCCCCCGGGGTTCTTCTCTATCACCTACACAGCAAGAAATGGAAGATAAAAGCTATGTCAATTAAAGTAATGGAATCTGTCAGAAGTGTTTAATGTTTTTTAAGAGGCCCCTTTATGCTTTTTGGGCTTACCCCTTTCCTTTAGTGTGTGTTATAATGTTTTGTGCATGTAAATGCTCTGCAAAGACTCCAGAGGGATTCTCCCCCCCCCCAGCCCCCCCTGCCTCTAATGGCTCAATTGGACTACTTTGTTTTTCCTACGTAACATAATGACATCACTATGTATTCGCGCTTCTATTGGCTACAAATAGAGTGCGACAGACGTCCTGACTGGTTTCAGACAGAGGGTGAAAAGAGGAGCTGCAGAACAGGCATTATGAGAAAAATAAAGAGCTTTTTGAACATTAAAACATGGAGACAAATACAAATAAAATTACCATAAAAGGGCCACTTTAACACCCTGTAGAATTTGCAGCACAACATAATCGGAAAAAAAAAACATATAGGAATCTATGTTATCTTCATCTCTCTCCTAAATTCCGCGCAGAGCAAATTCTGACTCCGTCATCCATCCATCCATCCATCTTCTCCCGCTTATCCGTGGTCGGGTCGCGGGGGTAGCAGTTCCAGCAGAGAGCCCCAAACTTTCTTTTCCCTGGCGACATCAACCAGCTCTGACTGGGGGATCCCAAGGCGCTCCCAGGCCAGCGAAGAGATATAATCCCTCCACCTGGTCCTAGGTCTACCCCTTGGTCTCTTCCCAGCTGGACGTGCCTGGAACACCTCCCTAGGGAGGCGCCCAGGTGGCATCCTAACTAGGTGCCCGAACCACCTCAACTGGCTCCTTTCGACGCGAAGGAGGAGCGGCTCAACTCCGAGTCCCTCCCTGATGACCGAACTTCTCACCTTATCCCTAAGGGAGACACCAGCCACCTTGCGGAGAAAACCCATCTCGGCCGCTTGTATCCGCGATCTCGTTCTTTCGGTCATGACCCATCCTTCATGACCATAGGTGAGGGTAGGAACGAAAATGGCCCGGAAGACCGAGAGCTTTGCCTTCTGGCTCAGCTCCCTTTTCGTCACAACGGTGCGGTAAAGCGACTGCAGTACCGCTCCCGCTGCTCCGATTCTCCGGCCCATCTCACGCTCCATTGTTCCCTCACTCGAGAACAAGACCCCGAGATACTTGAACTCCTTCACTTGGGGTAAGGACTCATTCCCTACCTGGAGTGGACAGTCCATCCTGCTGAGAACCATGGCCTCAGATTTGGAGGTGCTGATCCTCATCCCAGCCGCTTCACACTCGGTTGCGAACCGATCCAGTGAGTGCTGAAGGTCGCAGACCGATGAAGCCATTAGAACCACATCATCTGCAAAAAGCAGTGGTGCAATCCTTAGTCCACCGAACTGCAGACCCCCTCCCCCATGACTACGCCTCAAAATCCGATCCATGTATATTACAAACAGGATTGGTGACAAAGCGCAGCCCTGGCGGAGGCCAACCCTCACCGGAAATGGGTCCGACTTACTGCCGAGGACCCGGACACAGCTCTCGCTTTGGGAGTACAGAGATTGGATGGCCCTGAGTAGAGACCCCCTCACCCCATACTCCCGCAGCACCTCCCACAGTAACTCCCTGGGAACTCGGTCATACGCCTTCTCCAAGTCTACAAAACACATGTAGACCGGATAAGCGTACTCCCAGGCCCCCTCCAGGATCCTTGCGAGAGTAAAAAGCTGATCCGTCGTTCCACGACCAGGACGGAATCCGCATTGTTCCTCCTCAATCTGAGGTTCGACAATCGGCCTGACCCTCCTTTCGAGTACCTTAGAGTAAACTTTCCCGGGGAGGCTGAGTAGTGTGATGCCTCTGTAATTGGCACACACCCTCTGATCCCCCTTTTTAAATAGGGGAACCACCACCCCGGTCTGCCACTCCTTCGTTACTGTTTCCGACTTCCACGCAACGTTGATGAGACGTGTCAACCATGACAGTCCCTCAACACCCAGAGCCTTCAGCATTTCCGGGCGGATCTCATCCACCCCCGGGGCTTTGCCACTGTGGAGTTGTTTGACGACCTCAGTGACCTCCCCCCGGGAGATTGGTGTTGATCCCCCGTCATACTCCAGCTCTGCCTCTAACATAGAGGGCGGAGTTGTCGGGTTCAGGAGTTCCTCAAAGTGTTCCTTCCAACGCCCTAACACTCCATCAGTTGAGGTCAACAACGTCCCATCCTTACTGTACACAGCTTGGATGGTTCCCTGCTTCCCCCTCCTGAGGTGTCGGACAGTTTTCCAGAACAACTTTGGTGCCGCCCGAAAGTCCTTCTCCATGTCTTCTCCGAACTTCTCCCACACCCGCTGCTTTGCCTCGGCCACGGATGAGGCTGCTGCCCTTCGGGCCTGTCGGTACCTTGCAACTGCCTCGGGAGTCCCCCGGGATAACAAATCCCTGAAGGCCTCCTTCTTCAGTCGGACGGCTTCCCTGACCACCGGTGTCCACCAGGAGGTTCGAGGGTTACCGCCCCTTGAGGCACCTAGGACCTTGAGACCACAGCTCCCCGCCGCGGCTTCGGCAATAGAGGCTTTGAACACCGACCACTCTGGTTCAATGTCTCCAACCTCCACAGGAATGCCCGAAAAGCTCCGCCGGAGGTGTGAGTTGAAGGCCTCCTGAACTTGGGCCTCCTCCAGACGTTCCCAGTTCACCCGAACTACACGTTTGGGCTTACCAGGTCTATCCAGAGGCTTCCCCCGCCACTCGACCCAACTCACCACCAGATGGTGATCAGTTGACAACTCCGCCCCTCTCTTTACCCGAGTGTCCAAAACATACGGCCTCAGGTCCGATGATACGATAACGAAATCGATCATGGACCTTCTGCCTAGGGTGCTCTGGTACCACGTACACTTATGAGCATCCTTATGTTCGAACATGGTGTTTGTTATGGCCAATCCATGACTAGCACAGAAGTCCAGTAACAAACCACCACTCCGGTTCAGATCAGGGGGGCCGTTCCTCCCAATCACGCCCCTCCAAGTGTCTCCATCATTGCCCACATGTGCGTTGAAGTCTCCCAGCAAGATTAAAGAGTCCCCTTCAGGAGCCCCATACAGGACTCTTTCCAGGGTCTCCAAGAAGGCCGTATACTCTGAACTGCTGTTGGGTGCATAAGCACACACAACAGTCAGAGTTTTCCCCCCCATAACCCGCAGGCGTAGGGAGGCGACCCTCTCGTCCACTGGGGTAAACTCCAACAACGAAGCACCTAACCGGGGACTTGTGAGTATCCCCACACCCGCCCGGCGCCTCACACCTTGAGCAACTCCGGAGAAGAATAGAGTCCAACCCCTATCCAGAAGTAAGGTTCCAGAGCCGACGCTGTGCGTAGAGGTGAGCCCAACCAGATCCAACTGGTAACGCTCCACCTCCCGCACAAGCTCCGGCTCCTTCCCCCCAGAGAGGTGACGTTCCACGTCCCCAAAGCCAGCTTCTGTCGCCCGGGTCTGGTCCGTCGAGACCCTCCGCTTTCACTGCCACCCTTCTGGCAGCGCACCCGACCCCATTGATGTTTCCCGTAGGTGGTGGGCCCGCGGGACGGAGAAGCGGAGGTGTTGCCCACGTTGCCTTTTCGGGCTGGGCCCGGCCGGGCTCCGTGGCAAGCCCGGCCACCAGACGCTCGCCGACGAGTCCTCCTTCTGGGCCTGGCTCCAGAAGGGGACCCCGAGCTTCCTCCGGGCCGGGTATCCTCACTTCTTGTATCGTCTTTCATGAGGTCTTTTGAACCAATCTTAGTCTGGCCCCTTGCCTGAGACCAATTTGCCATGGGAAACCCTACCAGGAACACAAGGTTCCAGACAACACAGCCCCCAGGTTCATCAGGGCACACAAACCTCTCTACCACGGTAAGGTGCTGGTTCTTCAGACTCCGTCATGAAGTTCAAAAAACAAATCTCAAGGTTGCATCTCCTTTGCTTCTCTGTATCTTGGCAGTATTCAGTTGACACACATATTCCGTGAGCCCTGGCTGTCTAATCTCAATGACGGCAGTGTGGATCTTACATCAGCCTTTTGTCCTCCACGGAAACTGATGCCATCAGAGATGGAGGACTGGAAATCTGCTATGGTGTAATACTCTGCTTCCACAGCAGGGGGTGCTGGTGGCTTTGGTAACTGGAGTCCCTGTGCAGAAAATGGGAAGAGAGGTGAGCAGCTGACATCATAAAAAGCTATCATTATCTGACTATATCTTAAGAATGAGAAAGAAATAGATCATAATAAAGGATGTTCAATTATTAAGTGATGTGCTGTATGGCTGCATATGAAAATATTAAAGATATTTATTAGTGTGTACAGTATTTAAGTGTGCAGTGATGGATTGAGATGATCAAGGACTTGCGGAAATAATACTGTTGTGTTATTGCTGTGCTTTCATGGTTGCTATGGCAAGTCTCACAGTAACCAGGGAGCTAATTAATAATCGTTCTTCTTATGTTGTTATTCTAATTCACTGTATTTATTCTGCTTTTTATTAGTAACTCGTGTTTGTAAATGTGCTAGAACATTATTTTCTGTGATCAGGGGTAGTTATGTGATGCATACATGTTTCTGCTGAATCAAATCATGTGAAAGAAAGCCCTCTTGGGTATTGTTATGGAGCAGTAACTGGCGAAGTGTCTTACCAAGTTGGGTTCTCTTCGTGGGGGAGGTTTTTGTCTCAGATTTGGAGACCCTGATAAACAAAGAAAGATCTCATTAATACATATGTGCAATGCCCTTAACCAACATTCAGCAGTTACAGGAATTATGGAGTTATATTTGAGCCTCATTCCTGTGTATGCAAAGACAGAAATTGTTCAGTTTATTGTTCAGCAGGTTGACTTCCACATTTGAACACCAATTTTATAATTTTGAAGCGTAAATGCAATCGCCTGAAGTAAAAAGTTAACGTTAGTCTATAAAAAGAACTACGTCACGGTCACATGACTTAACGTCATCACCGCTATACTACAGATAGCTAATGTTTGACGTGATGACGTTTAGTAGTCTCATTAAGCCACTTGTTAGCAACCACCATTTTGATGACACATCAAAGCATTAGTATTTCCTAACATATTTTATGTCAAAGAACAAAACGTAAAAATCTCTTCAGCTTGTATTACAACATTCAAGACTCTGGGAATTGCAATGGCTTAAATGCTTATTCATTTCAGAGTTTTAGGAGTAATTCCTGCACCACTCTTAATTATCGCTAGGACTGTCCTCCAGCCCACCTCACACAAAATAATGTAGATGGAGCATGAGGAAAGCTTCAGTTGTTTTGCCAACAGTATTATTGGTTACTAAACAGGAGAGGTAAAGCAATCGAAGAATGTAATGCAGTTTCACAGCTTCATGAATTCCCTTCATAACTTATTAACCTTTTTGTCAATCTGGTTGAACGTGTATTTTTTCTATTGCAGCCAAGCTGTCTTGGTAGGTTGTTATGTGAGTAAGCAAGTTGTTTTCCTTGATGATGGCCAGCTACATATACTTTAATTTATAATCACCCATGTGCTTGACAAATAAAACTGCTTTATATAACTGAGTGTAATATTTAAACTCTGTAAAAACGATTATCACTGTGTGTATAGAACACATTATATTTTTTAGCGCAAAACATATTTTTGTTTGCTTTATCAACAATGTTTTTGTAGTAAGATACTTTCCGTACAATTTTGATTATGCACATGCAAAACACACGTTCAGGAATGAGGCACTAATGTAACGTCATAAGTAACATAAGCTTGAAAACAAAATCCACACAGTTCTTAGTGTGTGAGTAAAATAACAATCCACACACCAAACCCACTGTCCCATGTTAAACAGTCTCACAGATTAGTGTGACAATGCTATTAGATTACACCACCATCACCATTAGATACACCATCAGTGACGTAGCTTACCTATAGAGTCAAAGTCTACACAAAAGGAAAATGACACGTCTTAATGTCTCATACAGAACTATAAATCCTCCCTGGCTGCAATGCATTTATTGCTCAATTGTACTCTGACACGCTACAAATACTCACCAATTTCCACTCTATGCGGGGCCACTCTAGCAACAGCTGGGGACCCTTGCTCTTCCCTGGCTAGACTTTTTTTGAGTGCAGCACTTGCTGCTATCCCCAGACAGGGGCTGTTGGTGTCACGGCCAGCGCTCAGCCTCCGGCCCGTCTCCGCGTTGATCTCAGAGTTGTACGGCATGGGCAGGCTGATCTCGCTCTTGGAGATGTGGCGCTCGGGGGTGGTGCTCCCCTCCCCCTCCGTCTGGATGTCCTTCTCGCTGACGGACTTCTTCTGCAGCAGGTTGCTGATCTCCATGATGTTGCCGATGATCTCCACGGGGCCTGTCAGGGTCTTCTTGCGGGGGGAGAAGTCATCTTTCACCTTTTGCAAGTAGGAGGCAGGGGCCCAGCCCTCTTTCCCTAAGTACCTGTGGGTAGAATGCAAAAAGACAGAGTTTTTAAAGAGGACATATATTTGTAATTTGTGTTTCTACTGTTACATGTATACTTGGTTTATTCTTCAAAAAGGTCTTTATTTTTCTCCAACTGCCTGTGCTGCAGCACCTCTTTTTTCACCCTCTGTCTAAAACCAGAGTTCAGTCTGCTCTGATTGGTTAGCTGGTCGGCTCAGTTGTGCTTGGTCAATCTTTTAGAGATTTGTAACTACTTTGTGTAAATCTCCCTCCCCTTAGCCTATCACACACAATGTGATGGAGTGCTAGCCAATATAAATGCAAGTGTAACTGTACAAAGTGATGTCATTATATTACGGAACTAAACAAAGGAGCCCAATGGAGGCGTTTCAGGTAGGGGGGGGGAAGTGTGTGGGAGAAAAACTCCCTCTAGGGTGAACACAGGGATTTTAGCCTTTGCAGACCATTAACATGCACACAAACCTTTATAACACACTACAGGAGAGGGAAAACCCCCATAAGCTTAATCGGGCCTCTTTAAAAAAATGATACACATATAGTAAACATCATCATGTTATGGGGGCATTGAGTTTAAAAGCTCTGTACAAAGGCCTTACATGGATTAGGGAATCAGATTTGTTTACAGCGTGACGAATACAAGTCACAAAATACATCTAGTAGCTTCTGCTTCTTGTTTTTGACCACTGTTTTTTTTTTAAACGGCCTTCAGGTTCAAAGCAACATTTACTTACTGACTAGATCACCACTTTTAAATAAGCACCAATAATATCTTGACTGCAAATCATACCTAGAATGAATAATCAACTACATTTCCATATTAACTGGTATTTCAGAGTGTAATACAAATAAACCAAAACAAATCCTGTGTATTGAAAACAGAACACTGTTGAAGTAAACAGCCTCAATAATATATGCAGAAGAGTATCAGCTTCCCCACATTGCAACAATCATTGCAAAGCTAAATGAGTCATTTTAGAGTGCTTTGTGAAACAATAAGTAATGTTTCCAAATGCAACTCTGACTCATTTGCCTTTAGGTGGGTCATTCTCTGTTTAGAAGAGATGTGATCATTCGAGCTCCCCTGTTCCCCACTCTTACTGTGACCACAAGGAGTCACCATAGCAGAGAAAGCCCCATGCTTAAAGTTCTCTAAGCAAAAACATCCAAATAGTATTATTTCCTGTTGATCTGGAACGACTTGTTGTGCATTGCAATGAAGGCCAAAGTACATTTTATGTATAAAGCTAAATATCAAATGCATTCGAAGTGTTTTAAATCTGTACAGCACCCTGTATTTTTCGATCCTCCATTTAAACACAAAATGCTGTTTCACATATTAGCCACAAACATCATGCTAGCACACATTAGCATATTTAACATTGGCTCTGTCTGTGTGTATGTTTGTGTGTGTATGCACACCGCATGTGTATGCCACATGCCACGAGGCAGCATGTGATAGTAATCAGCTGTGCAGTGGAGCGCCACTCTCTTTAGCCCCCGGGGTATGAGGAAACAAACAACTGGCAGGAAACAACACACATATGCACAAACTGGCAGAGACACACACATATACACATTAGTAACCCAACAAGGGACATGCAATTGACCTGTGGAGAGCGCCATGTGTGGATCTCAATGTCTTTATGCAAATACAAGCTGCAGGAAACAGCAGCGTTCCTCACAGCACTAAGCAAAGAGGACTATCAACCAAGCCACTATTCTCAAATGACTTGCTTACTTAGAAATTTGATTTAAAAAGTTTAAATATTCAAAAAGTGCTTTATTTCTCATACTGCCTGTGGGGGCTGAGTCTGTTGTGATTGGTCAAGCACTTAGAGATGTTTTGGAGAAGTCACGCACCTTAGCCTATCAAGTACAATGTGTTGGAGCGCTAGCCAATAGAAGCGCAATGTTACAAATTGAAGTCACTATTTTCCTGAAGTAAACCAAGGAGTCCAATGGAGGCGTTTCAGTCAGGGGGGAGTGTGTGGGAGAGAAACTCCCTCTGGAGGGAACTTACAAACACTACAGGAAAGGGAAAACCCACAAAGAATATTAGGGCCTCTTCAAAAACATAAAAACACTTTTGACAGATTCCATTAGTCTCCTTTAGCTGCTATGCGTTGATGAGCTGAGCACCTTTTACTTAAGCCCCCAGAATAATAGATCTGCTCCCTGAATCAATTTGTAAAAATGTTAGTTCTTTGTTCATTTGAATCGACAGAGAAGAAGGCTAATTCACTTGCTCTATGGGCCCCATGGATGCAGAAGATCCAGGTATTTTAATCTCAGCAGTCCATCCATTTTGGTGTCACTGAGCAACTGTCCTATCCAGAATCCAGTCCCCTTCATACACCCATGCTTTGACTATTTAGCGTTTACTCACCTGATGTACCACCAGCCCTCCAAGTTCTTCTGGATGACTTCCACGGTGACCCCTTTCTCAAAGCTGACTTCATCCTTCCCTTGACTGGCGTGTGGCTGTATCGTCAAATATTTCTCCTCTGGATGGCACGAGGGGCGAAAGAAAGACAAAGAGTAGCCGAGTGAGTGAACTGTTATCATTAAACATTGAGGGGTTGGACCACCGTTTAGTTTACATCTGACCAGAGGGCCTTATGAGGGGGGGGGGGGGGGGGGGTGAATAGTGAGTGTGACCTAATTAAATAGACTTTTCCCAACACAAACACAACCCAGCTTGGTTTGAACCACCCCCTGTTATTTACAACAACTCAAGCTAGTTGGACCCTGATTTAGTGTCCATCTTGCTCTAAAGGGAGATTCATCTCACGCTTTGATAGGCTTCACAGGACCCTGTAGGGAAGGAAGTTCTACAATGGGTTTAGTGGGGATTTATAGACACCTAGGCAAAAGATAGGAGCAGAGGGGGACACCAAGATTGGCAAAGGAACCAGCTTTCTGAGCAGTGGTTGACATGTTCAGTGGGCAACAGGATGGTTTATTTCAGTGGGTGATGAATTGGTATGGTATGAAGAGGAAGAAAAACAATGTTAAAAACAATGTATAGACTTATACAAAACACTTCTCAATCCTCAGTTAGGACCCACCCTAAAGTGGTGTCTGTGCCTGCAAAGTCCCAACCTTTTGACTGGATTTTGTCTTTTCCATGGCTGTAAGAAAAGTGATTGTTCACCAATAGGAAGGTTGAGGGTAGGGCTGTGCAATTAATCGTATTTTAATCTCAATTACGATTTTGGCTTGCAACGATTACGAAAGCACTGTCATCGAAATAAAACGTTTATTTTGCTGCATTCCCTTTCGCAATGATGCTCTCAATTTGTCTTGCGTTATACATCCTGCTCGCGCGTGCGCAGTCACCCCTCCCTAAAAGCCCTCTCGGCCAGGTTGTGTTGACTTGCAGTCTGTTTAATAAATCCATATAAACACGTTACAAGGGAAGCTTTAGTTGCCGTGTCTCTATTCTCCGGTCCTCCATGCAAGTATAGCCTCTTAGCTCGCTACTTCCAGTTTCCAGATAAGGGGTTACCAAAATAAGAGTACTGTGTGTAGCAGATTAAACATGACAGGTTGTGAGTGACATTAGTTATCATATTTATATATGTTTAGTAGGTTGTGGAAGTGTGCTCCAAAATATTTGTTGATATTTTTGTATTGGTTTTTCAGTTGAATTATACTTAAAGTTCAGGGTAATCAACTAAAACATACTGTTCAAATTATTATTATTTATTTTTTAAAAGTTCAATAAACGGATGTTTTCAAAGTCAATGAATAATCATTAATAATCGCGATATCAATATTGAGTCACTTTTAATACCTTAAAGGAGTGGAATGAAAGATGAAAGATTGAATTAATCGCATCTATTAATCTCATCAGTGTGTATGCATAAGCGTGCCTAAGTATCCATCAGTGTGTGTGTGTGTGTGTGTGTGTGTGTGTGTGTGTGTGTGTGTGTGTGTGTGTGTGTGTGTGTGTGTGTGTGTGTGTGTGTGTGTGTGTGTGTGTGTGTGTGTGTGTGTGTGTGTGTGTGTTGTGTGTGTGTGTGTGTGTGTGTGTGTTGTGTGTGTGTGTGTGTGTGTGTGTGTGTGTGTGTGTGTTGGCTCCAGTGTCACACTTCAGGGACAGAACAGTGAGTTGAGAGAGCGGTCAGTGGGATTCTATAAATCAGATTAGGGACCTGCTGTAAGTGATAGCACTCTGTGGAGGGAGGCGGTTGTATTGAACCTCGGAGAACAGAACCCCACCAATGAGGTCACTCCGCCGTCAGTAGCCAATCAACACCCCCAGAGAGGTCAAGACCCCCTGACCTGGCTTTGAGTCAGACTACAGAGAAGCCAGAGAGAGATGTGCTGTCATTTCATTTGATTCGCGAGCGCGCCCTTATTTTATTTTCAAGATCTCGGGATCACGCCCCTGTCTTCTTTATGAAGTGTAACGTGAAAGGCAAAGAAGTCTGTGTCAGCAAACGGGCCACGGAGTATACGACTGCTCTCCTCCATTAGCAAATGACATCCTGCGGGGACATCAATCCTGCACGATGGCTCTTTGTTTTTTGTCCTTTGCCAGTGCTCCTAAATCAAACTGTGTCTGCGCCGAGCTGTACAACCTCACTCAAACGTTTCTTATCGCTAGCTCAGCAATGCATTATCAGGCAGGCACAGTAGTGTCTCCATTCACAAAGCACAAGAGGGAGGAACGGGGATGAGAAGATTGTGGGATGGATAAGAACAAGAGGAAGGTGCAAAGATTGAAGTTTGGAATGGGTGCTGAGTCTTTTTAGTTTTTGTCTTATACTCAATAGCAAACCCGGCCATTTATTGTGCCGAGCCATTCAACCCTAACACAAACCACTGGTCTACCTGCACATAGAGGAGTTTCATCTTGGACTAATTGACTCACAGTGAAACCACAAACTGGTCAGAAAGTAAAGAGTGGTGCTGATTCAAAACGTTTGAAAATCTGTAGAGATACCTCGACTGTATCAAGAGAAAATGGAACAGAGCATTGAAATTACAACGGAGGAATGAGTCAACATGGGCCAATCACAACACATCTCATGAGTTTGGATGTAAAAACCTCACAAGATACTTCATAACTCCTAAAATAAAGAGTAAACTAACTGGTTCACAACAAACATGTGTGCGCTTGTGTGGGAATAGAGATGCAAATCACACACACATTGTCAGGGAATGTCATACTCTAAGTTCCTCTTTAGGAAAATGTGCATTCTACTAAGGGAGACATTCTGGGTTATTGCAGCATTTTATACTTTGGAAATATAAATGATTGTGTGATTGATATCCATGTTATTACCAAGCAAAAAAGCAATAACAACACACTGGTGTAAGGCTGAGCCACCTTCTACAGAGCAGTGGATGGATATTATGAGAGAAGTCTATATAATAGAAACAATGACGTACCAACTTAGAGTGAGAGCAAATATTTGATAGTAAATGGAACAAAATTGATCATTTATGACACAGAGGAAAATGTCTAAGACAAACTAATATATGCTTTTTAAGAGACTATACAATATACAGTATGTATGTATGTGTGCGACCCCTGATGATAGCAACTTGTAACCATGGCTGTTACATTTTAGTTTGATGTTTATTTTATTTTATATAACTTTTGTTTATGTTCTTGTACTTTAGTTCTCTACCTTTGTTCTAAGCTAAGAGAAACCATAAGTTAACATATTGTAAAATGTGTTTTGTTGAATGTACAAACAGAACTCAATAAATACTAAAGTAAAAAAAAAGTGTTGAACTCCTCAAGTTCTATAAAGTCCTCCCTAACCCTATGTGTGCCTTTATCATCATGACATATTTATTTTAACCAATAAATCATAACAGTCACATAATAGTGTTTTCAATTATTTATCTACGTTAAGCTTAGGCTAACAAACTGGTCTAAACCCCAGCACGTTGGTACTTGTGGTGTACAGTTCTCTAAACAACCAAGCGTTATATTATTTTGACCGTTTGCCAATACTGAACAACCCAACAAACTCAACTCAACTTAAGACATTTGATGGAACTAGTAAATACATCACACCTAGGATATGTCAAGTCATGCTAACAGGGATCAGTAAACATTGCAAGTTAGCTGTGCCCTGTGGAGGCCTGAGGGGTCTGCACGGTTGACATTCAATAGATGGGGCCCAGGACATTATGATTATAAAATGTAGTAATGAAGGTCTTCAAATGCTCACTAAGCCTGAAGCTTTTATGGGCGCTGGAATTCTTGGGCGTGTCTACTACCTAGAACCCCACAAAATGAATGGTACGTGACTAACAAATTAAGTGTTGGAATTCAAGAACATGGTCTCCAACGACTTTCATGTCCTCATTCTCTGGTGGCGACAATTAGCCGGGTGACTCATCCTCGCTCTCCAGAGGTTGAGGTCTGCGTGATTAAAACCAGTGTGCCGATTGGGCGGCTGTCCCACTTTCACACTTTCTACCGGCTCGTTGGGGCCAAACTTTAATGTTCTGTGTGGGGAGACATGTCTAGTTAGGAGACATTCCTGAAGACCTGCCTAACACTGTTCCCTATCCTGAGACACATGCTTTATTCCAGTGTATCCATGACGATATACTGTAAATGCTGCCTGTTTAGGTTCCTGAATCAGCTGTGTAGTGGATGTACTGCTATTAGTCTCCACAAAACCAATCAGGATTACACAGTGGTGATAAGTAACTAAGCACATTTACTCAAGTACTGTACCTAAGTACAATTTTGAGGTACTTGTACTTTAGAGTAATTCAATGTTTTGATACTTTGTACTTCTACTCCACGACAAATCAGAGGTACATATTGTACTTTTACTCAACTACATTTTTTAACACCTTTAGTTAATTTACAGATGTGGATGAATGATATGAAATATAACCAAGTGTTGAATCAGACTTTAGTTCCACCTGGAGTAAATCCACCAGCTACCCTGCAGTATACAAAGTCATTCAGACTAGCTGCACCTTTACCAGCTTTGAGAACACTTTCATGATCAATCATTATAAAACATATCATATATATTATTCTGAAATGGACCAATCTACACTTTTACTTTTGGTAATTTAAGTATATTTTGATGCTAATACTTGTATACTTTTACTTGAGTACAATTTTTGGATGCAGGACTTTTACTGTTAACAGAGTATTTCTCCATTCTGGTACTTCTACTTTGATTTAAGTACAAGATATGAGTACTTCTCCCACCTCTTGGATTACATAGGTTAGTGACCATGCGTGTAACTTACCCTGCGTCAACTGACTGAGGCTTTGGACCGTATGAATACTGCTGTATGTCAGTGTGCGTTTTTAGAATGAGACGAGTTGTTTTTACACCAATGAATTTCTCTCCTGTACAGTTGCTAGAGTTGACGCATGAACACATTAGACCTAAACCGTGTCTGTTTGAAGCTCTGACTAAGCCTGGAGCCAGACAAGTGTCTAACTGTGGGACTGAGAAAAGTTTAAACTAGAAAGCGCCGACTCGCCCCCCCCCCCCCCCCCCCCCAGGAGAGGTGATTTTTCAGACATAGACTCACTTTCAGCATTAAAGCAATAATGACTCCACCACACCACAGATTACTTGCCAAAAGAGGATGCCAGAACACTTTTATGTGTAATAAAAAGTCATTAACAGCATTTTAAACCTAAGGGAGCTTGCTTTAATTAGCAGCAACTCTGTTATACAATCATTTATGTTCACATGGCTCAGTGGCTGTCAGGGTTGTTGCGTTTGTGTTGTGGGAGCCCAATAGCTTTACTTATCCAAATGTGTTTAGTGCAGTCCAATTATTTGTGCTGCTCTGTGTGAGCTGAGGACAGCTCCAAGTTTGATGGAGTGAGATTTTAGTGTGTCAGAGCTGACTCATGGCCACCCAACATGCAGCTCCCGCTAGATTTCTCAGTTGCTGTTGGCTTGCTAGTGACCATGTAAATGAGGTTGTTTACCATGTGGCCGCAACATATGTGAAAGTGCTAAGGAGAGGGGCCATGGGAGGGGCTCAGCTGTGTACTGAATGTTTGTGGGGAAGATGTGTAGGGGTGAGAGAGTTTCAGTCACCGCCAGGGGTTAGCCTGGAGGGAGATCATGCATTTGGTTGTGTGTGGTTGTTGTGTACATGTCTCTCTCTCCAAGGTTATTCTTTCATAGTGCACGACACATCAGGGCAGGCTGAAATAATTGTTTGTGAACACTTCTGAATGTTTGCTAAGGACCCCTAATGGTTGCTGTTTTTCACCGCAGATCATTAACAACTGCTTCAGTAGCAAAAGGCATTTTCAACAATCAGTGATGCTTCAAAAAACGCAACATTTTGATATTTGCTGTAGGGCTGTAAAAATGATATTAAATCGTCCAGCGTATATATTTTCTTATTACATTTCTATTCAAATATCGGCTAGCTCTATTCAAATGTGTGCTCTTTATTCTACTTTAAACTGTTTATTATGGACAGAAGTTGTGATTTATTTTTATTTCACATAAACTATCATTGAAACATGCTATATCAAGATGTTGGCATGATCTTTGTTTTTTGTGTTTCCTTTTTTATTTCGAAAATGTCTCTCTTGTTGTGTCTAGCCTGGTTTCACTTCCAGGCCCATTCCCAAACCGCCCCCTACACCCTACCCCCTACACCCTACCCCCTACCCCCTACCCCCTACCCCCTACACCCTACCCCTCCGTTTGCGCGTTCACGCGGAGGGTCCGCCATATTGAGGGCTGTTCCAAAGCAACGAGTGTGGAGAGGTGTGGAGGAGGAGTGGGCTATCAAGCCCTCAAACAGCGAGTCTGCAGCGGTGCTGACTTGAGACCGGTCTCTACCTGACCGGAGTCACGCTGTATGTGTCCGTCAGGAAACACGCTGTTTACAAGTAGTTCCAGCAAACATCCACTGATAAACTGCGATGTTAACAACCTCATGATAACCTCATATGTTTTTAACTTAGGATCATACCTGTGTTTAGTCTAGAAAAAGGTAAATGTGTGCATTTTATTATAAAAGTTGTGTATATTTACAGACCGTTGCAAAAACTAAGAAGCTTATAAACATCAGGTTTAAAACTAAAAGAGCTTTGAAACACAATGAAAGATGTTTGGAGTTTTATTTGAGTTATTCATTTAAACTTGTTGTCTAAGAGATGCTGATTTGAAACCGTTGTTACATACAGTTACGGCATTTCCTGTTTCTGCCGGAGAGAGGGGAGGCCGTCCCAAAGCTTGCTGCTGTATTTACTCCCTCCATCTGACAGGAGGGAGCCTCGTTGAGCTGCGAGTGTGGGGTAGGGTCGAGGGAGTGGTTTGGGATTGGGCCCCAGTCTGTTTTGTTACCGCCTTGATTGTTTGCCCCGCCCTGATCTATCCACCTGTGTGTTCTCACGCTGCTTGTGTTTTTGCCTGCCCTCTCCATCTGTGTGTGCATGCCGGTTTGTCCCAGTGTTCTCTGTCAGTTAGTAGTTCCCCTAGATGTTTCCTCTGGTGGGGTTCTGCCCCTCAATGTTTTGCATGTGTATTCCTTGCATTATCCCTAGTGTTCCTTGTGGATTTGCTTCCCCGTTTTTCTTGTGCCAATCTGGGCTGTCCCTAATTTTTTTTTTGTGCTGTTGTATTAATAAACCTCCTTGCTTAGTTTTGTGTTTTTCCAGGTTTAATTTCAATACAGCTCGCCTTTAATTATGTATACCTGCCTCCTTTTTTGTACTCTGTTTGGGTCCTGTTCTACTCACCTACACATTGCCACAGAAAAAAAAATGACCACATTGGGAAGGATGTAAGGTTTTTTGCCATTTCGTCCATCACTATTTTGTCATGGCTTAAAAACTGAAAATGAATCCCACACCTGATGTGCTACTAACAATGTGCACACATCTAGTAAATCAATTCAGAGATACTCGAGATACACTTTGTTGTTATATTCCATGGAATGCTCTTAACATCCTGATAGCAATGAATATCTTCAGTGCTTTGACAACAAATCCATAAAAAAAAATTAATCTGTGGAAGCCGTAGCGCTGTAAAAAGCACGACCAATCATCTGAGCCGGCCCGGCTAAAGTAACTGGATGGCCTACCTGCCTGTCAGCCTTCCATCTGTGCACAAACTTATCTCGTGCCCTCATTGGTCATGTGCGCGTTCGTGTGTGTTGGAGGAAGGGCTCTGTAAGGAAGTGGCAGATTTCTTCCGGCTGTGTATTTTCAAATTCTAGCGCACTCGAGCTGGTTTCTCCAACATTACCTACCCCACCTTTAACATTGCACGCTGCATTTTTGTGATAAAGAGAATTAGCTAACAGTAGCTTCAGTTTGGTTTGGTAATGACGCTTGAATACACACACTAAAGACAAACACTATATGTGTGTATGTTCATATGGATGAGGGACTCAGGGTCTTTTATGGGCATGTCTGTTGGTTTGTGGATTTCTCATATTGTTGAATGTGTATGAGTCCACTGTCACTGTTTAATGTGTGTGTGAGTGTGTGTCTGTTTCCGCCTTCACCTCTGCTCTGCTGCCGGTTGACTATCCCCCCCAGGGTCCAGCGGCGGTCCAGCCTCTTCAGATGTGCCTTGCGTCTCTTTGTAACTGATGATGATTAAGGTGCAACCAAAAGGAAAACAAGGAAACAAAAGTGGAGTTAGTGTGAGAAGCAAAGATTATCAAAAGAAAAAGCAGTTGTTAGCATCATAACAATAGTTTCTGAGGGACAATGGCACATAAATGGAGTCAACAAATCATCACGTGGAATGGTAAGCTGGGTTTGTAAGTGTTTTAGCTAAGGATATGTTAAAAGTAAAGTTAGCTGCTGGTGGATGATGCAATTGTTTACAGGCAATCTACTCTAGATATACCAGTCAAAACTCAAAAATGCAGGATTCATTTCGAGGGCTTACTCTTCCTAAGTTATTATAGATGGATCAGGCTAGCCAATGCGAGTTATACTTTAATGTTACTTATAGATGGATGTGTACTGTGCATGTTTAGTATGTTTTGCATATCAATTTTAGAAATGCAGGCCTTTCCTGTTAAATATTTGTTTTATGATTGTAAATGGTCTGCAAATGCTAACATCGGATTGGATTGGTGCATCCGTACTTACAAATCACACACAAGTAAATACTTTCTGTTTTCTGGTACTCTGCTCCCTCAATAACATCATTCTTTTCAGACAATGAAATGTTTAAATGGGGTAAAATCATGTTTACAATTCCCCAGAGTCCAACTCTGCATCTACAAATGAATTGCTTTAAGTTTGATTTATAATGATCTCGACAGCAAAACAGAGAAAAGCAGCACGATTGTTCTGGTTACTTGACTCCAAAACACCACACATCCATAAATAGGGAAATCCTTTTTAGCACCTGATTAAGATTAAGCATGATGTTAAGAAAGGATCAATGTCTGTGTTCACTGTCAACCTACATCTCATAAAGCCATCTCTGACTTGAATTGATTCCACTAGGAAGTAAGACAAAGATGGTAGTGATATACATTGATAAGGTCTGCACATAGTTTCCGCTGCAGTGTGATGAACTTGTGACTTCTTTCACTCCTTATTACTTCAGAGTCTCAGTAATAACATGATGAGTCATTTTCCTATCTTGTATGAGGCCACATGAAGAGCAAACGCATTAAATGGATTACAGCACTTGTCTTCCATCTGTCTTGGTACTCTGATTCCTTCTCCATTTCCTGTCCTCTCTTACCCCTCATGTCTCGCCATCTTTCCTCCTGCTCCACAGCTGTCCTGTCTTCCTTTGTGTGCCTATGCTACTTGTAATGTCCTCTCTCCTCTTGATTCCTGTCTGCCTTCCACCCATCCCGCTGAGCACCACCCTACTCCCGCTGACCTCCTAATTGAAATATCAGCTAAAGGGAAGGCACAAAGGGAAATGTTATTTTGAGGTAATTCCAGCGGGGCCGGCTCGCCTGTCGGTTCCTCTCTAGCGAGCCGAGCTGTCAGTGGAATTAGGTTACAGACCATGCAGAGATAATGAGATGTAAGGGACGATAGGAAGCGGGAAGGGGAGATCAGAAATAAGAAGTGACGATGTGTGCAAACACAAAGACACCAGGCTCTAATGGGAAAATGGGGGCCACTGACGGAGGATGGGGGTGGAGGTGTGTGTGGTTGTGAGCTCAGGCACTCCCTGAATAAATGGTGCATTGGTTAGCAGAGACAGTATAAAAAACAAATGAGAGTGTGTATCCACAGGCTTAAAGGATGATTCTTCTTTATAATAACCTGGGTGTTATATGGTAGAATATGCCAAGTTTCCCAACACTAATAAGCAGATTGCCCACACCAAGTACATAGCTTTGATGTGGCGCAATTTAGATGAGCACACACAGTTTTTTTGTCCATCAAGGGATTATTATCCACATTTAGTTTTACTAAGATTTTATTATGACATACTCATGCCTGCGCACGACTCTTCCAGAGAAGTGTTTTAAATGATCAGGTTCTAGTGAAAGTGCACGTTTGTGAAGTAGTGAGCATGCAAATGGAACATGAGACTTAAATTAACCTTTATTTGTATTGCAGTTTTTTTGTTTTTGTTCAGCATGGGGATTAAACAATATCTTTTTTAGATTTAGTAATTTAAGGAAACACAGGGGAGCAGTTGATAAAAAATAGTAATTTATTGTAATAATTATTGCTTTAACACTGTTTTAAGATCCCAGATATACAAATAGTAGTCCACCGATTAAAAAGTAAAAAATGAATACCTGGCATTACCCAGAATGCAATTGGGCAACTGCTGTTTCCACAAATATAAGTTGTGTAGTACAGTGGTTCTCAAAGTGGGGTCCGCGACCCCCCGGGGGTCCGTGGCGCTCTGCCAGGGGGTCCGTGAAAAGTGTTCAGATTCATTAATTTAAATTATCATACCATTTTTCTATACATTTAAAAATCAAGCGCGTCTGCGGTGTCTTGCCAATGAGGCGATGAAGCCTGCCAAATTGAAGAGGCACCTCGAGACCAAGCATCCAGATTATGTAAAAAAAGACCAGGCTTTTTTTGAGAGGAAGGGCGAGGACTACCGCCAGCAACAACAACGGATGGTTAATGTTACGTCTGTTTCTGCTAAAGCGCAGCGGGCCTCCTACCTGGTAGCGCAGAGGATTGCTAAGGCGCGAAAGCCCCACACAATAGCGGAGGAACTGCTGCTCCCTGCTGCGGTGGATCTGTGTGAGGTGATGGTGGGGAAAGATGCGGCTGCCAAATTGAGAAGTGTACCTCTGTGAAATGACACCATCAGACGACGAATTGAGGACATGTCTGCTGATATCAAATCACAACTGCTGGAAAGACTGAGAGGGTCTAAATTCGCGGTTCAATTGGATGAGTCCACTGATGTGTCCGGCTCTGCGCAGCTCATCGCGCTGGTTCGCTACCCGTGGGAAGGAAGGATTCAGGAAGATTTTTTATTTTGTCAAGAGTTGACGGGGAGAGCAACAGGTGAGGAGATTTTCAATGTTATAGATATGTTCATGGAGACTGGCAATGTGAGTTGGGAGAATTGCATTGCGATTTGCATGGATGGGGCAGCTGCCATGACCGGACGCAAGAGTGGGGTGGTTGCTCGTGCCAAGGAGGGCAATCCAATGATGATAGCTACCCACTGCATGCTGCACAGGCAGGCTCTGGCGTCAAAATCATTGAGTCCTGAGCTACAGTCCGTTCTCAGCACGGTGGTATCTGTGGTCAACCACATCAAGTGTAAGCCACTGCAGTCCCGTTTATTCGGCCACCTCTGCAGGGAGATGGGCGCAGGACAGGACACCCTGCTGTTCCATTCAGAGGTGCGTTGGCTCTCCCGTGGAAAAGTGCTACAGCGGGTGTACGAACTGCGCTCTTCTCGGACCCCGAATGGATCGCACAGCTCGCCTACCTCGCAGATGTGTTCAACTTATTGAACGATCTCAGTTTGTCCGTTCAAGGCAGATATGCCTCTATCCTGGAGGTAAGCGACAAAATCAAGGCATTCCGTGCCAAAACAGCGATCTGGAGAAGGCGGGTGCAAAATGGCATTACAGACATGTTCCCCCAACTCACAGAGTTTTTGGACACAAACCAAATACCAGCTGAGATTGTGAAAAAAACAATCGGTTCGCATCTTGCCTCCCTTGGTGACTATTTCACTGACGTTGACACAAATGCCTGGGACTGGGTGTGCGACCCCTTCGTTGCCCATACATCAGCGCGGGGTCTCAGTGGAAAAGCAGAGGAGGAGCTGCTGGACCTGGCATGCGACGGGACTCTGAGAATCCGGTTCGGCCAAGGGGGGCATGTGGACTTTTGGCCTTCGGTTGAACAGGAGTATCCGGAAATCGCTGCTGTTGCCATGCGGGTGTTGCTCCCCTTTCCAACCACATACCTGTGCGAGTCATCATTCTCAGCGCTGACCTCCATGAAGACCAAGTACAGGGCTCGGATGGAAGTGGAGAACGACCTACGTGTATGCCTCTCATCTACTTCTCCAAGGATGGAGAAGTTGTGCAGCGAGAGACGGGCCCATATCTCACATTAATGGTAAGAGATCTCTCTCTCTCTCTCTCTCTCTCTATCTCTCTCTACTCTCTCTCTCTCTCTCTCTCTCTCTCTCTCTCTCTCTCTCTCCTCTCTCTCTCTCTCTCTCTCTCTCTCTCTCTCTCTCTCTCTCTCTCTCTCTCTAAAATTAAGTTATATTACTAAAAACGTATTATTGGGAATCGCGAGAAGTTTCAGAGCGACAGAGACACAGAGCGTCCCCGTAACCATGGTAACTCACTCTCACTCTCACTCCTGCCTGGTGCGCATGGCGCGAGAGGAGAGGGAGAGACGCAGAAGTGAGACGACTGAGATTACTTTGAGCAACATGCATGGGAATAAGTTACAATATAATACATTTGTGTATATTTCTCGCTATTCAGTTGGTCTGCTGCCTGGTGCTGCTGTTGCGCAATGTGCAGTAGTGTCCATGACATTATCAGTTATGAATTTGTTTTACACTGCTTGAGAAAACGGACTTGTGGCTGAGAGCGTGTGAAAAATGTCAATTGCGTGAGAGTTGGCAGCCCTGTGAACTCGCTTGACATTATTATGTATGAAACTGCCAATCAGATTTATTTACTTATTAATCGAAGGTGCCGGAACGCTGTTCTGGATCGTTCCGGCCCACTTTAACCCCTGTGTGTGTGTGTGTGTGTGTGTGTGTGTGTGTGTGTGTGTGTGTGTGTGTGTGTGTGTGTGTGTGTGTGTGTGTGTGTGTGTGTGTGTGTGTGTGTGTGTGAGAGCAACAGAAATGTCAGATATGTTGCATTTATTGATTTAGTTTGATATGTGTGTCTTCACTTGCAGAGAGAAGCAATCAGCTCCAATAGTGTCCAGAGCTGGCTGCCATTACAAGTAGTGGTTTGGGATTGTAGCAATGCAGGCATGTGTTCAATTGTTTATAGCCTGCATTTATTTTCTGATTAGACTTTTATAAATCATTTAATTTTAACTAAGAGTGAAACACTTGATGTGTTATCTTTATGTGTGTGTGTGTGTGTATGTTCTGAAATGCACTTCAAATGATCACTTTTCTCTTGATTTCCCTTTGATATTTTGTTTAGGTACAGTGTTACTTGCAGCTAATTGATTGATTGTTTTATGGGTATTCTGTGTTTTATTTTTAATACATATCTAATATCTTTCTAATACATTTCTCTTGTGTTGTTCTTTCACATAACTAAGACTATAGAAGTGTGAAAAATAGGCTACGTCAGACGTAGCCTATTTTTCACATCATAGATAGAAAAAATTACAAGTACGAATCGGCTGACCGTCAGGGGAGTCTCAAAAAACCCACACACGAATGCACAGCGATCCGTGCACAGAAAGCGGTTTGTGTTTGCAGGTTCAGGGGATTTAAACGGAAAACAAATATGTGAGGATCAAAAATACACATGTAAAACTTTTCTCTGTATTTGGATTTTATTTACATGTATATGAAACGGAACACATTTGTGTGTGCATTGAAAAACACAAGTGTGAATCCTTCTGTGTGCATGTGTGTATTATGAGACTGTTCTGAGCCCATAGTCCTCAGGCAGCCAACACTCAATGTTGTTTCACCTCCAGGATTGTAATGGCGCGTTTCCACTGCAGGCCTCGCTCGGCCTCGCTCGGTTTGGTTAGGCCTTATTAGGCCCGGCTCACTTTAATGCTGCGTTTCCATTACAGTTTAGGAACTGGGGTAGTTACTATAGTAACGCAGTGTAGGCGGAGCCGTGACGTCATCTTCAATGAGCGGCCCAAAAAACAACACAGTCGTTAGCTCTTAGCACTCAGAGCTCACAGCTCCTCATATCTGTTCAGAAACTAGACAAAAGTTAAACAAGTACAAACCACAGACTGCCTGTGTCATGGCGAATAAAGTCGCTGGTTTATTTATGTCTGTATTGGCCGTTGTTGTGAGTGTGGACGGTCGGAGCATATATAACGTTAGCTTAGCCAAGCTCCATTTAGAAAACACGCATTTTAAAAGGGTTTTTCGCCTGCCGTCTGTCTGCAGACTTGTCAAAGCATTAATTCATGGTTTTTACTAACCGGTATCAGTATGTTGTTACTTCGGCATCATTTTGAAACGTGTATTACAATTAAATCACGGTCAAATATGTTCATCTTGTTGTAGTTGTAGCCCCCCATGCCAGCGATTCTCTCTCTAGTTTAGCATACTCAGCCCGACTCAGCCTGGTTGTTCCAGGCCCTAGAACCACGATTTTATGGGGCCAGAAAAACTGTGAATTAGGACCCGCTAGCCGGTACTAGGCCAAGTGGAAACGCAACCAAAAACGGGCCCTGCACGGCTCGGCACGCTTAAAGCGAGCTACCCGCTGCAGTGGAAACGCGCCATAAAGAGATTCCACTGTTACAGGCCCTGACAACATCCAATAAGTATGTGTGAGTGTGTGTGGGAGTGGGGAGAAAGATCCAAGAGAGGAATGAAAACTACAAATTACAGTGAGTGTGGCAGCTGTGCAGGAGCTGTCATCCTTCTAGCAGAGTGTGTGTGTGTGTGTGTGTGTGTGTGTGTGTGTGTGTGTGTGTGTGTGTGTGTGTGTGTGTGTGTGTGTGTGTGTGTGTGTGTGTGTGTGTGTGTGTGTGTGTGTGTGTGTGTGTGTGTCTTACAGAATATGCACCGATCAATGAAGCATGGAGGCTTGCATGTCTTAACGATGGATAAAAAAATGTGTTGGATAATCAATGTTGCCTGTATATCTTAGCATGCATGTGAGCACATTTGTGTATTTGCACTTAATTTACGACAATTGGATCCCCCTTGGTCTAAAAGCCGGAAGGGGCTTATGACACAGTGATGAAAAGTTCCATCCCAGCAGTGAGACTGAACACTAGGGTCACAACAAAACAAGCCTCCTGCAAGAGTTGCAGCCTCCCGGGGGATCCGTGGTGCCAAAATATTGCAAACCCTTTTGGCTGCAGTCTGGTACTGTTTCACCATGGGGCTGCAACTGTGGTCTCCAAGGCTCCTAGTGTGTGACTGGAAGTGTTTTGAGTCTGTGTCTAGGGCTGACTTCTGTGACGTGTAAGCATAGAAAACAAGCGCACCAAAAACCGTTATTGAGAAACCGCATTGCCTGTTACACGCGGATGATTTGGGCAAGAATGACACAAGTCTTTCTGTGTTTTATGAATCTATCAATGCGTGTGTGTTTGCGCTAACCTTCTCCAGTCCTGGAAGTGCCCAGATCCAAATCGTCTCTGGTTACATTTTGGGAGTCCAGGTATGTGGCTGGCACCCAGCCCTGCTCCTCTGCTGTGCTGACAAACCACCAGCCTGGAGAGAGAGAAAAAAGGGAGAGGGAAAAAGAGAGATGAACATATTAGTATTGCTAACAATAAAATTGTGCAGGAATGAGTGCTTAAACCCGGAAATGAGTTAGCATTTTACACTTCGTGTTCACTCGTCTTTCAAAGTCTTTTTTGAATGCCTGAAATAAGAGTTCTGGTTAACACAAGCTGAAGAGATTTTTATGTTTCGTACAACAACATCAAATTTGGTAAATACTCCTCATGAATGCAAACTTCCGGATTGGCACACAAACTAGTCATCACTACACCAGTCTTTAATCATGGCATGAAGAATGGCTGTGAACATCGTTCCTAGATGTTTACAACTCATTGCTACTCATCTCTCATGTTTAGCACAATGTACTGAGTGTAGATGAGCCAGCATTTATATAGCAAATTCAGTGTGTGTATGGGTGGTGAAACTGTACATCTAATCAGGCCCGCCCCTCCCTGAACGCAGATTATGCAGACTGTGTGGGGCCTTACCTCGCGGATAGGGCCTCACCTCGCAGAGGGGGCCTCGCGGAGGGAGCCTCATCCGAAGCGCAAATGCGGCGCACCTTTATGCGCTTATGCGGCGCAATTACTGTAAGCGCGCCACAGTTTTGCCGCTGCGAGGCTCCGGCGCGAGTACCATCCCCCCCCTGTTGACGCTCGCGACACAGAGGGCCTCATCACACAACTTTGCGTGGGGCCACAAGTTGGCCAGGGGCGGCCCTGCATCTAATATTCATGTACAGTACATCTAATACCACTGGTGAACTATCTATCACAACGGGACCTTCTGTAAACACACACACCCCCCGCCGTTAGAATGTCCGTCTTTTCATTGAATTGTCGTCTTGAAAAGGGTACTGACAACAATTCTGAAACAACTTCATCTTCACCTGTTGCACTTGTCATTTTAACGTTAAAAACAATCAAACGGCATGAATTGCTTCGTCGCATTCATCTAGATCAGGGGTCGGCATCCTTTTTGATATGAAGTGCCATTTAAAAAAACAATTTGTTATCAGCGTGCCAACGACCGAGAATTATCATGGGGGGGGTTGAGGAGCTTGACGCTCGTGAACTATCAGCAGGAGGGCGGGGGGAGCCTCACTGCGGGGAAGCAGTGTGTGGACCTGTCAGCGCAACTTAGCCTACATGATGCCGAATTTAACAAGTACATTTAAATAATTGGTTTAAACGGCATAATAATAAGGACGATCGTCCGTTCTGTGATTCTCCAGAGAAGGCCCGCTAGTTAACTGGCTCGAGACAGAGGATCTAGATCAGGGGTCGGCAACCCCTGGCACGAGGAGGGCAGAAGCAACAAGCTTCAGGTTCAATAACCCACTTTAGCTTAAATGACTGGAGAAAGGCGAGCTCTTCTTGGGAGGCCGTTGCATTTATTTAGCTGTTCTTCTGTTTCACAAAATACATCACAGACCTCTGTTTTTCTGCTTCCTCGTTTCACTTCCAGAAACATACACACGTTCCCTCACTGTCGCTCTACCATCCACACACACATGCACAAGCCACACCCCTCTCTCTCTCTCTTAAAGGGACAGCGATCTCATCTCACTCTGCATGACCCTAATATCATAACATGTGTGTTCTGGAATCTAGAATACCCTGGAACCGAGGGGAACTCTGAAAGAATACGCCCATTGGCTACAAATCAATATCTGATTGGTTGATCAAACTGTCAGTCCAAACGTACGCTCTCATTCAGTGCAACGGCCAGGGCATTCGATCAAGGATGTAGAATACCTTGGTTGAAGGATATTCTACCCAGAGACCGAAAAAAAAGATCTGATTGGTTGCTTTCTTTTCTAACACAAAACCACTGAAATGCGTAGTGCATGGACCGAGAAGGACAAACAAATCAACGTAACACTGTAATATTACAGATCAACAACACAGATACCATTCTTATTTATTCATTCTATTTACATTTTATTTATATAATTAAATACATTTTTGGGTTTTTTTATCTGAGTGTTCCACGATAGAGAGATCTGATGTGAGCTCATGATGGCTGGACGTTTCACCAACTTGGAAAGCTCTCATCATTACGAAACCAGACACCAAAGACAATCCTGGAAAGAGGAAGATGCTGGAGATCTCCAAGCTCATCATACAGTCGATCAACAGAAGTTAAAGGCTCTTGTTGCATGAAGAAGGTGCTTCATTTTTTCCTATTCCTCAATTTGAAAGTTGTTTTAGCTAGAACTCCCTTGCATCCCTGAGCTAAGTGTCTCCAAGTCAAACAAAACAAGGTAAAAAAAGTCTACAGTGATGAAAATAGCAATTTGAGGTTGTATTTAGGCATTGAGAGAAAGGCTACTATCAGCATGAATCACAATAATAATACTTATTTGGGCGAACCCAAGTTTAAACAATTACCCCAAGGGGAAGATGAATATTCACAACAATGCTATGGTTGTTTATCCAATAATTGTGGGGACATTCAACTCAAAAACAAAAACAGGCCGTCTCCCGATGATATTGGACTAGCCGTGACACCGTATTAGACCAGGGGAGGAAAGTAGGGGATGAATCGGCCCTTCCTCACTTCCTAACCTCCAACACCAATCTTCCAACTGTGCCCTTGTTTTCTCACAACAACATGATCTTGTACCAACTTGTAATGTGTTGCCAGTTTGGGTAGAAGCCACCAATAATGCATAGTCTTTTGGCAAAGAACGTGCTAAGGGTAAGGTATTAGCATGTGGAAAACATTGTGAAATGGTGACAGTTCAGTCAATGCGACAACACTTCTTAGTGATGTAAAAGGCTGGTAAAAGTAAGTACATTTGTAACAAAACTTAAGCTACGGAGGTTGACAAAAAATAAAATAATGTTTCGACACAGACACCAGACCCCTGGGTATAAATCCTGTGATGTATAGCATTATCCCACTCCTGTGTATCTCAGGATTTAACTTTTTATCATAGGAAGTTGTTCAACAATATTGCACGATAATTTATTCAGGATGGCGCTGCAGCTCCACTAAAGCACTCATGGTCAGATTGTGTATAGATGTGTAATTGAGCTGTAGAAGTGACAGAATAAGAGCAATGGGTGGAGAAAGACAGAAAAGTAGAGCAACAGTGGCAACCATTCTTTCTTTCTTTCTCCAAATGAGTCCAAAGATTAGGTCATCACTGCTCCAATACATTTACAGCCACATGGCTCACTCTCTAATGTGGCTGGGGAAGCCTGGGCGGATTAACCCATCACGCCCCTTTTTTATTACCCGGCAGGACACCAATCACATAAACACATATTAAATGAAGTGTGGAAGACCTGCCTGACAATGAGCTGTATTATATGTGTGTTTGTTGTGTTTCAACTGTATACGCAACAGCATTATGAGCAAATACATACCCTGGCACCAGGGAAGCTGAGAGTTAATGTGTACAAAGAAGGATCATTATTTTTAAATAACCGCATATGCTATAAATGCTAACAAGGATAACATGTAAATCACTAAAAACGAAATTGTGAGATAATTTGCATTTATAAATAAACAATTCCTTAACAACATTTTGATCACTGTTAGAGGCCATAATATTATCAGTATAACCCAGATGGAGTAGTGTGGTTATCAGAAAATAATGCACTTCCGTCTACTTCAGCTTGTTAATTTATTATAACTGTGCACCTCTTCTGTATTACTACTGTTTCACATATTTAGAGCTGCTGGCAATGATCACTTTGATTATATCCATTATCGATTTTCTCTATATTATTTATAACTATAACTTTGAGGAAATATACTTAACATCTAATCAAACAGATAAACAGAAACACATCTTTGTTTCACAATGTACTTATTTGGGAAATTGGCAATGATTGGTGATACATCTATGTTGATCCCTTCATTTAAAGGTAATCTATAGTTATTTTACAGGAAATCTGAATATATTACGAATAATGTAGGAGCTAAAACAGTAGCACTAAAGAGATCTGAATGTTCCTCCTAGGAAAGTAGTGATGGAATCAAGTATGCCAGAATATAACAACACCTATAATAACATGCATTCAAATATTATCGGGTGGACACTTAACAGACGGCACCAGAGGACCTGCTTGCCTCCCTGCATGCCACTTCATCCCTCCCTATACACATATAAGCACCGTGAAGCCTGAGCCACCCGGACTCTGACAGCTTATGTGCAGCATGAAAACACCTTCATGCAACACACACACTAAACCAAACTAAAATACTGTCTCCCCTGAACTCTCCCACAGCGGGTCACGTCTAGTGGTCAACACAGGAGTGAATTCAACCTGAGGGCTGACACACATGGGGGTGATGCATAGTAGATGCAGTGTAGCCCCTGTTTGAGCTTCCAGACACTCAGCTTTCTGTGAATGTGCTGTAGACTGCTGCACAGGTGGGTCAGCTTACTTCAGTTTGGATCCGTCAGAAGCGATTAGGGACCCCAATTGGCCTGGTTGGAGGTTGTGGTTTCAAGTAAAATTGTATTTGACACCACTGCGCTAATTAAATCTTACAACATAGCCCAGGTTAAGAAGTCCTGTGTTATACTGGATATTGCCACAGTGTAAGGACTTAGGGACTCAGGATTTTCTTATTGGGGGGTAAAGCCTAGAGAAGCTGGCTTGACCAGTCAATATAAATTATGAACTGTGAATTTCCTTTGTTCATTTGTGAACTGTTGGCTAGTTCAGTGGGGAGTGTGTCTTTTGTTTCCTTAAGGTTCTCATGTATGCTGTTTTCCTGCAGTGTGAAAGGTCTGCCTAGCAGTAAGAATAGCTTTCTCCATGTGAAACCCATTAGGGCTTTCATAGGCTGATTCATTGCAACTACTTAAAAAGCTAAAGAGGAATTGGAGGCACCTGTACGGAGGAGAGGAGTAGCTCTGCACAAATTCTTCATCTCCAAAGCCCACCTGACACACAGTGGAAAAACTGAAAGATAAATCTGTGGTGATAGAGGATTAGGGTTACTGTTGTCAACAGTGGTGGAAT